ACTCGGTATGCTTAAGATTTTAACAGAATTTTTAACGGATTTTATTTCTTGGAAATTACCAAATTTGTACCAAATGGTGGAGGGTATTAAAAGTTCGGCCCGGCCGAACTTACAGCTTTTTTACTTGTTTTTTATTATTTTTAATTATATTTATTTATTATTTTTTTTAATAGCTGTTGATAAAAGTGTTTTTGGACTTTTTCTAATTATTATCACCCTACATTCTTCATATTATATTTACTTATTATTGAGCTCTTTTGCGAAAAATATCAATATTTCATAATCTTAAAAATTTCGCTTATGTTAAAGAAAGTTAATAGAACGTGTGTACATATCGATAATTATTCTGTCGGAAATGACCCCATTTTAAGTTACGCATTTCAAACTGTCGCCTTTGGAATAAATTGTGCCCCTAATATAGCAATTAGTACTTTGCTTCAGCTTGCCCATTGCAGTGGGTCTGAATATCTTTTGGCTTCAAATATCCCTCGTAATAGTATGTATGTTGTTGACGTCCTTGTTGGCTCTCATGACCTAGAAACAACTATTCTTGCTCAGGATCAGATTATTAATTTTTTATCCACTGCTAAATTTGAGTTAAGGAAGTGGACTTCCAATGATAAATCTGTTGTACCTAGTTCGCCCACAGACTATTTAGATAACGCTCACGTTCTTTTCTTTATAGAGGCAAGTAGTTCCAACCAATTGGGTATTTGATGGAATGCTAGTTTGGATTCTTTCTAGTTCTGTGTAAATCACATCACTAAAAAGTCTAATTATTTGAAGCGGGAAGATCTTTCACACGTAACCAAATTGTTTTATTCCGGAGCTTGATTAGCATCCGTTATAATGGTAGCAAAAACTATTATGCTGAAGGTGTAGTTAGATTACATCGGATGGGACAATTCGCTTCTTCTTGCTACAAAAAAATCCTGGCACACTTTTATTGACAATTACCCTCATCTTAACTAAATTACAATTCCGCATTGGGTTCGTTACGAACCAAACACTTCGGCTGAACTACATGTGTTCTCTATTGCATCGGGTAATTTATATGCGAATAAAAAATTCCCAATGCACATTTGTTACCCTCTTAGACAGGAGTAGCCCTAATTAAATCGGTTTCATTACAATATTTGCAATTATGTGGTGCTGTACTAGCGTCAGAACTGCTAAAGGCCATTTTGAGCGATTTTGATATTCCAGTTGACAAGATATATTGTTTTGATAGCTTGATTGCGAAAAACTCCTACAACTTGTACTACTTTTGGGGCAAATATGGTTTGTCGAATTTAACAAAAGGTTGGAAATGGTCATTGGTTCCATGTTAGGCCTGAGGACAATCCGGCAGATTTTGGACGCCGCAGTGTCTCTCCTTAGATGGCTGAATTTAGAAAGCTCCGCTAAGAGAACATCGAATCTCTCTCAAGTCAAAACTGAATTGGAAACGCGTAGTGTAAAAACACATATTTCTTTCTTTACAAAATATGAATATATTGTAAAGCGGTTTTCATCAGTTAATAGAACATAACGTTTCATCCATAAAACTAACCCCCACAACTTGCCTGCAAATTGTTTCACGAGAAAAAGCCCAACCTTTGCAGAAATTAAAATAACTGTAATAGACTTTGCTGGGCCTTTTGTTATTATGTCATTTACGGGTTGTGCTTATCTATCACTAAAGAGTATTTTTGTGTCTTTGTCTGTTTTACGACCAAAACTGTTCATTTAGAGGCGGCGTTTAAGCTTCGCCAGCTTCAATTCTGGCTACATTTTGCCGGTTCGTAGGTCGTCATGATTGTCCTAAAAGCCTTTTTTCAGACAAATAGACTAATTTTGTCAGTGCTTAACATGTATTCGAAACAGATTTTAGAGCGTTTCTAAAGGTGAGGTCACATTGGGCAAATATTTTCCGAAAAATATCAAATATTTCTTTGCCACAATCTGACCACCTGTAAATGAGAATAGAATCCGATCTCCCTCTTCAATTGTCAATTCTATTCTGTTTTTAAAAGTATTTTGATATTTTGTATTTTTTAGTATTTTCTTTGCCCAGTCTCTCTGCCGATACCATCGCCTTTATCTACCGTCATCTTAATTTTTGGAGGTAGTTTCAATTCTAGTTTTTATTTTAAAATATGTTTCTTAGGTACTACTGAAAGTAATCTAACTTAACCTTATCGCAGCCACACAATTATTCTTATCTATTCTAATATTGAATGGAGAACATTGCAGGGCTGCTTGACATTTCATTCAAGTGGTCTTGTACATCTGCTGAGCGCATCGATATCTGTGCTTGTGGGTCATAACCTTTATTATCTCACACATTATCGTATACGTTAGCGCACAAGATCACCGAATTGTTCACATGTGGTATTTTATGGCTGCTGGGTAATATGTAATGTTAGAATATTTATTTTTCATTGCTAGATTTTTCCCAGCGCCTCAACCGCACTCAAAATATGTACAAAGTATTTTGTACACCACCAAATATTATTTGACGGCAAATACGGAAACAATTGATTTTGGAAAACAAAATTATTTGTTAGCAAAAAAAAATTTACCAGAATGTCTATAATGTGAACTCTTAAAATCAATTATTTTCCTCTTTTTTGTCCAAACATTTATGTCACCGTGCAAATGTTTTCTAAAGTTAAACAAGACAAAATATCAGTTGAAAACATTGTTACTTGACATTTATTGGATATAATAACAAACGAATACAATAAGTGGTTTTGTTTGTTTGATATTTTTGAATTAATTAGCTAAGCACACCAAACTGAATATAAGGCCAAGATATCCTTTCAAAATAATTTTCGATAAATAATTTTCACAAATGGTATATATGATAATGTATGAAAAACTTTCATACATGCTTTGAAATACGCATTTTTTACAAGTGAGTTTAAATGTTTAGTAAACAATTTTAATATAACTAAAAAGAATACATAGACAAACACAACAACGCATACTTTTATTCTATTGTACCATGATTTATATGAGCACGCATACATATATGCGTAGATACATGCATACAAAAACGCCAAAACAAAATCATTCTGGCAGCTGGATTTTTGTTTCCCTTCTCCAAAATAAATTATGCTCGAAACTTCATTTTTATCATGTCTCTACTTCTCTCGGTGAATAAACCCACAGTTTGATCAAATAATTTCATGGGGAAAATATATTTTACGAATGTAACACATGTCGAACATGTTTTCCCATAGCAGTATTTGACATTGTTTGGTGACTGTTTCAACAAAGAAAATCTGCTAAATATTTGACTGTAATTTGAACATCAAAACAACTTAGTATGACTTTCACATATGTTCGGACAAATGCTGAAAAACAAATTTATATCAAATATTTGCTCTTAGTGAAAGTCGTATAACCGTTTGTCCCACTATGGGGCATCAGGTACTTAGTTGGAACTCTCTACCCACTTGGGTGGTCCTTGGGAGGCAGCAGTCAAGTCCTTGTCGTATACCTTTGAAGAATTTTCGAATCTTAGTTCGCATCGAACTCTCAGGCCTTATATCCTATGTTCTTAATGAATTGGTAGTGCTTACACCTGCCACTTTCTTATAGGTGCCGCCCTTCTTGCTCCGCCGGAACCCCTTGTTAGAGAATCGCCATTGAGTTAGTCAATCGATATAGAAAATTTAGGGCATTGACGCATCAGCTTTGTATAAGATGAAAAGAAATGTATTTAATTTAGTTTGAATCAGAGTTAAATGTGGAAAGAGAAATGTTGCAGTAAATGATTTAGTAGTCATTAGGTGTGAGAAACTTCCACCTACTTCTTGGAAGCTAGGACGCGTAGTCGATACGCATCGCGGTTTTAAAGGTAAGGTTAACGTTGTAGACGTCTGAACTCTTCAGGGTATTGTTAGGCGACGAGTCGTGAAGTTCGTCGTGTCACAGTCTGTTGTTTGCTCTATTTTTCGTGTTGCCTTATCGTTATGCGTGTTTGTTATGGCATCCCAACAAGAACTCTAAGGAAAACGCAACTCCCTGAACCTATAAATAACTAGGCTCAATCTTTAGACCTCCATGTTTAACCCGCTCAGCACATAGCTCCCCAGGTTCTACCCCCTGTCCAAAGTGCACGTCGCCAGCAACTAACTATTCCACAGCCCTTAAAGCAAGGACTAGCCCAACGTCTTCACGTGTAGCATCGTCGTCATCAAGATGTTCGTTTCAGTGTCGGCTAGGTTCCCAGCATCATCCATTATAGAAATGCATGGTCTTTAGAAGGATGTCCGTTATTGTTATAATTGTATGCGCCCTGATCACATCTTAAAGTTCAATACCTTTTAGCTTTAGTTACATTGATACACATGTATGCATATCAAGGTGGGCGGCAATGTATAAGTTAAATACTTTGTCCCCCAACCTTCCTTGCTCAATCAATCACAAAAGGTGATTGGCGCACTGGCATCTCCCTTACAAAACCCCCAGCGGAGACCGTAGTGAGCGGATCGCCGCTGGACATTGGGTGTTATCGGTTAGCTCACCTTGTTATACATGCTCTAATTAGAATTAATTTGCGTATGAACTTGTAAAAGAGATGGGATCCTCAGCGATCACTCAAAATCTTTGCATTCACTTATTTTTAGTCTTTGAAATTAAACCCATCAAGGCCACTGACGCCAATACAATATTGAAAAGTAGCAAGCAATTTAATTAAACAACAAAAGTGTTTAGTCAATGAACTAATCCAAATTGCTTTATTTCTTATTTTGTTTTATTTTCCCCATTTCTCTACATAAATACTGATTTTTTTCAGGTTAAGCAATTAAGCCTATATATTTGCAACAACAAAATAACTACGGAATCCCAAAACTGTTATATTAATATAACTACAGTCATTAACATTAAATATAATACTAACCTATAAATTTATACTATAATAACTGTTTTAAACTGATTAGAATATAAGATTGCGCGCATCAGTAACACAATTTATAATAAGAATTCATTTATAATTCTCTTTCTAGTATATGTGTCACTGTGGTTGTTCTCAACGTTCACTTCCGGTCACCACAAACTCACCGAATGGCTCCATGGGTGAAGAATGTATTCATTGATAGTTTGCCGAAGTTTTTATTCATAAAACGTCCAAAATACAACTTCGAGACAAGGTAAGTTCACAAGTTGCTATAAGAGTGGAATAAAGTTTAACATAATGTAAGCATAAGGGAAACTTAATTGATTTCTGTATGAAATCGAGTGTTAGTGTCATAGTACGAAAATTAACTATATGAAGCGTTTGCAATCGTTTCGTTCTGCATTTCCTCGAGAGACAACGTGTCAACTTTTTTGTTTTGTACTGTTTGTGTATGAAAGTGGAAACAAAAACAATTTTTTTTGCTTGTATACCAACTCATTACAAATAATGTTAAAACTAATATTAAATCAATTTTATTCATATATTAAATCCATCATACAACAGTATAAGGCACGAAAATTCAAATTTAAATGACAACTCTAACTATATCTGTACTTCTGGCATTGAAATATACGTGGTTTTGTTTGGTGTAAACGTCAGAAAAAAGTTTAAAAGTTTGTAACTTTTTGTGAGCTGTAGGTGTTAAACATTATAATTTTTTAATATAACGTTTTTAACAAAAGATTTATGTATTTAAATTTCAATTAAAAACCAACATTTCATTTAATAGCACATTTTTAAAATTGAAGATTAACCTGTTGGTTTTATTAGATTCACTGGTTTAATCTTGTGTGTTTAGATACACCCTTGGGAGATTTAAAATGCCGCCCAGCTTAAATTTGTTTAATTATACATACACAACCAACAAAAAATATGTATCAAAAACACTATAATAAAGACAATTGATTTTGAAAAATAATATTTATTCACATTTGTGACCTACTGCAACAAAAATAATGCACCTTTCAATGTATTATTTCGAGAAAATTATTTTTTTTTGACATTGTTCCAATGCAATATGTTAAGCACACGTTTACACGTGTACCGCGATACTAATGCTGTACCCAGTATGATTTCCGTTAGTATGTAGACTTCAATCTGGATTTGAAATAAATCAAATCGTGAGAAGTTCTATTTTTATGCCCTCCACCATTCTATGGAGTGTATATTAACTTTGTCATTCCATTTGTAACTCCCCGAATTACTCATGATAAACCCCAAAAAGTATATACATATATTCTGAATCAGCAAACAATTCTAAGTTGATTTAGCGATGTCTGTCTGTTGTAATCACGATATCTTTCGAACAAATTAAGACAGTAAGGTAAAATTATGTACACGAGTGAACTTTGCGAGTTGGCAGGTTAAGGTCATAAACGGACCATTTCGATCCACGTCTTTGTATATCCCCATATTACGGTTATTATTTAAGTGGCATTTTTTAAATTTGTTGATAATTTTCAAGCTCATTGGAAATAGCAGATGGTCTAAAATTAAGAAAAGAATAAATCCATATTAAGAAAACGATTCATATCCTCCGAAAATTCTTCCGACCCTTTTAATATACCTTAATTTGGGGGATTATGCTCCATGGCGAATAGTTACGCTGTGCAAAAGACAATCTTGGTGTTGGGAAAGTCTAAGTGAATAATTTTCGGTTCGCAGATAAAAATCTCAAAAGGAATTTGTGTTCCTATGCCAAACTTTTTTAGCGCTCTTCATTTGTAGGCTTAACTGTGCACAAGGGACCTCAAATATTTTGCTCTATACTTCGAAATATGTACGATAGAGTTTTAAATTTGAAACGGTCCTATAGGTTACATGTAGAATAATTTGTACAAAATATGGGTCATATTGCATGGAGGGTATATTAAGTTTGTCATTCCGTTTGTAACTCCTCGAAATATACATTTTAGACCCCGCAAACTATATATTTTCTTGATCAGCAAAATTTTCTATGTCAATTTAGCGATGTTCGTCCGTATATCCGTCTGTGGAAATCACTCTAGCTTCCGAACGAAATGAAGTAAGTTGATAAAAATTTACTCAAATGTGTATTACATCTGCAGGACTTTTAGTATTGAAAATGGGTTCTGTAGGTCCACGTTTTGGTATAGCCCCTATCTAATGGTATCTCCCTTTTTTCGGTATTTGGTGACTTAGCGACATTACTCACCGCAATTGTTTCAAATTTGGTATTTGAAGTTCGTTACGGGTACTACAGCCTATGACAGAAAGTTGCCTATGCAGGTCCACGTCGTCGTATAGAACCTAAGTTAACGGCTACATTCTATTTTTAAAATTTTAACAGAATTTTTAACGGATTTTGTTTTTTGAAATATGCCAATATCGTACCACGTGGTGGAGGGCATTCAAAGATCTGCCCGGCTGAACATACAGCCTTTTTACTTGTTTTTCTTTCTAAACAAGGGACATTACGAATGATAAAAAAGAAAAAATTGGCACAAGAAAAAGATTTCATAGATTTAATGGAAACTTTTACGAAATCAATCGAATCTCCCGGCATGATGTAAATTGACAAAAATTAACTTTTTTCTCATAACACATTAAAAAAAACAAATATTTTGTATATAATTCCCACTTCTTCAGTGGTGTCTAATCGTTGTTTTTTTAATTTTGTTTTTTTTTTTTTTTTTTGTTAATTTTATTGAGCAAATCGTTCGGAATCTAAAGAAGCTAAAACAAAAATCCAATTAAAATTACTGCCTGATAGTAACGGTTTATTTATTGAATAAAAGCTTAAATGGGTTCACGGTTAATATTTCAGCCATCGTGCTAAGATATTTCGTTGTATGTAAATCCTAATATTTTTTTGTTTCGTTCGTTCCCACGCCTCTCACTCCCACCCGTGCCGACCGAGGGAGCGACCTCCCCGTACGTAGGGAGCGCGTACACACCAAAGACCGGGAATGGTGTTTTAGTTGTGACTTAGTGGTGCCAGCTACACTCTAGTACATCAGCCGGCAAAGTACTAGGTAAAAATACACTATTGAGAAAGGAATTAGAGCAACACATATAACATTTATAACAAATATAAACAAATAACAGTGAAAATAATATGTTAAACAACGACTACTGTTCAAAGGCTGGTGTCTATTGTTTCCGCAGAGGGAATTGTAGACTAGGTTCCGTTAAAATGAACTTAAAGATTCTGACAACTAGTGCTCAAAGGCTGCGTCTACTGGTTCCGCAAAGGGAGGGAGGGAGTAGATCAGAAACCGTACAAATGAGCTTTTTAAAATAAAAAATAGGTAAGTGAACATATACAATCACATGTGGAGAATACATATTATAATAGAGATCAACGAATTGCTTAAACAAATACTATTACATAGACTATTGTAAATTACGATTATTACAATTATTTTATGTTCACAGTATACACTTTTAAGGTAAACATTACTCAATTTAGTGTTAAGACCTTCTACATTCTGATATACATAGTATAGATATGACATCATTTAGTTTTTTGATACTGTTGGAATATTCACAAATCTAGGTGTTTTTGTACGTTCTCTGAAAACAAATTCCTTTACTAAGGCACCATCGGGCCAAAACGAGTTACTGACAATAGTATTTAATATTTTGTGAGGCACATTTATTTTAAAAGAGAAAATTTCACGTCGTTGAGGGGAACTAAATTTGAATACATTTATATCGTTATCTGACAGATCGGTTATTTTGGATTTCACGTAGTTACGAATATCATCAGTTGAAGTATTTTGGTGCAGCCTAGATAAAAATACAGTTTTACGAGGCGCAACAACAATTAACTGATTAGAAAGCGGTTGATTAAAGTCTTCATTTAGAGCAACTGTAGGGTTTAAATGTGTATCATTTGCTACGATAGTAGGTGGCCAAAAGTAAATCATAAGTCGGTCGGTTTTATGTTCAAAATCTAAATGTCTTCAAAAAACATTTCGAGCTATTTTATGTGGTCTTATCTAAAACCATACTAAATTTTAACATACCTGTGTAAAATAATATTTGTGATTCCACTATATTTTTTTTAATTTGTCTTTTTATTTGTTATCTATTTGTATAAAAATTATAAGCAAATTATAACTATTTTAAATTCTGAATACAATTATACAGGTACAGTTCATATAAATATTATTATCTGTATTATAAAAGTATGATCTAAAATATGATTTTTTTTGACCGTGTGTTTTCATTATTATCATCTAACAGAGATATCTTGTTTCGTCCTTTACATTTCTGACGCAGAGATCCCTGTGAATACAGTTGTTTAAAAACTAAGTTGCATTTGATAACAATCTCAGCGTGTTTGATTGATATATTTGCAATATTTCTATATTTGAGTTGCTAGCAGTTTCCCAGAATTCAATTCCATATGACCATGTTTGTTTTAAAACTGTTTTGTAAAGTCGAATTTTATCCTCCAAACTGAGCTGTGATTTTGGACCAATTAACCAAAACATTTTCTTTGTCTTCCTTTTGACTTATTTTCTTTTCATTTGAATATGTTCCTTCCATGTCAGTCTGTGATCTATTCTATGCGATCTATTGTTTACAACAGAGTTTACAGGCATATCAGCGGTGTATATTGAATATAGAAGGGGAGCCATTACGCTTCCTTAAGGCACACCGGATTTAATATTTCCAATACCAGATTCATCGTTGTTTACCGACACATAAAAACTTCGTTCTCTTAGATACGATCTAAACAACAGCTAAAAGGTTGGTAACTCTTGTATAGCTTATAAAGCAATCTGGTATGTCAGACTCTGTGAAATGCTTGCTTTATTTCCAAAAATGTAGAACAGCAATACATTTTCTTTTCTAGAGTTTTTCTTATAATCTTCACAACCCTGTGACTTTGCTCTGGTGTTCCATGGTTATTTCTTAAGCCGAACTGATGATCTGATGGAATATTTAGGTTTTCAATCATTGGAGCCATACATTTTTGGAAAGTCTTTAAAACACTTTCGACATTATAGGGAGCAAGCTTATACAAGCTCAGATTATTTCCAGGCTTATTTGGTTTTGGTACCATTATAATTTTGGCATATTTCCACTGAGATGGATAATGGGACAATCTCTGCATAGAGTTGAACAAGGTTGTTAGAAAGATTATTCCTTTTTTGGTAACGTTTTTAGAATACTGTCGTCGTATCCAGGGGACTTCTTGCTGTTTAATTTGTTGGTTTCCATTGAAACTTCTGAAACGTGAAAGGTTTAATTGGGAGAAACATTTGACAAGGAATATCAAGAAAGTCGCAAATTTGTTGCTTAAGCATGAAAAAGTCAAAATTTGCCATTTTTAAGAATAAACGAAACATTTTGTTATTTATTTGGTGAGTGAAGAAAAGTGAAATTTTGCAAAAATGGATGAGCAATTGCGTTTTTATGTCATCGTCCGATTCAGAAGATGATTTCAATGTAAATATCTTTTATCTTTGCCAGAAAATATGTAAGTACACTCATTTGAAAAGACCACAACCGCTGTTATAGTTTTTCTTCACATTGAAGGTTTAAACAACGCTTTCGTGTTTCAAAGGAATATTTTAAATATATTTTGTTAGAACTGCACTTTACGGGCCATATGTCAACAGCGGTACCACCTACTCTACAGTTAGCAGCTACACTATCGCTTGTGGCTAGCGGCAGCTTCCAGCGCTGTGCTTTGTGCAGAAAAGAAATGGAGAAGAAGTTGTGTCACAAAAAATAACATTTCGATTGAAAGAGTCGGCAAAATGCAAAGAAGCTTTTGTATCAAAATACAACATTCCATACAACATTTGAATGCTTGTTCTTGGTCAAATCAGGGTGGTCTGTCATCAAAACAGCCAAAATATTTTTTTACTGGAAGTTTATTTTGTTTAAGTTTGACCTACAACATTTGAAATTATAGTAATTATTCACTTATTTAATATTTTTAAAGAAACTTGCATTTTGTTTTTGAATTAATGCAAAAATATTGCTCCAATCAGAATTATATCACTTTAAATTGTCGTATACGATACAAAAACAGACGCGGGCAAAAACTCGATTGGTTGCATTCGACACATCCATGTCAAGTACTCGATATCGAACGACGTCATCCAAAATTAAGATAACGATATCGTAACTTCTCGATATCGTATGCGGTAATTAGACCCCAGTATTGCATAAAGAGAATGGCTTAAAAAGCTCTCCTAGAAGTTTCTTGTTATTTCGCTACCAGATTTGCACCATGATCCATCTTCCTTTTGTATTGGAATATTTCTTTTCTGAGGCCTTTTTAAGTACTTAGTACAATTGTATAAGTTGTGTTCGTTATTATTCAGAGGACTTAATTCAGATAAATATTTCCCTGTAGCTTCATCCTTCAATTTATGAAATCGTTTTTTCAAGATTTGAAATTCTTTTTATCTTCCGGATGACGCCTTCTTTGACAAACTTATCTTAATCGCCTTTTTGATTTAATTAGGTTTCTAATTTCAAGTGAAATGTTCAAGGTCGAAGTAGACTGACACTGGGGAGGCTGACACGAAGCTTCGTGGGCAAGTTTCACGAAATTTTCAAATTCATCAACTATTTCGCTGTCTGATTTAAGGGATTTATTTACGTTAATTCGAGTATTAATCCAATCTTGGAAATGTTCAATATTTGTTTTTGATGAAAACAGAGGCTTGCGTTTTCTATTGTGCACGCATACGCCTTATAATTTAGCAACAAATGAGTATGATCAGAGCTTAAGTCATCACAATGTTGAATATCCAAGTGATATTGAGATATCCCAGAACAAACCAAAAAATCTAACAAATTTGAAATATTACCAGCATCTTAAGGCCAATATTAGGATTTCCTGTGGAAAGTGTTATATCGTTGTTGTGAACAATACATTCATATATTTTTTTAGGATTATTTAAACGGGATCCCCGTTGGTGTTAAAATCGCCTCCAACGATAAATTTGCTGCCGATGTAAAAAAAAACCCGTTCATAAGTAATGCAGTCTATGTTGAATCTGGGTGGAAAGTATACCGTTATATTGTAATTTAATTTTCACTTTAGCAGTTTGAAGGTAGTTTTCTGCAACATTATCACAAAGTTCTTATTTAAGACCTTTTCTTATAAGAATAACTGCGACGCCATGAGCTCGGTCATGTGGATGGCTAGAAATAAATGTATCGTATCCTTTAAGGTTTAGATATGATTTCACATATCAAAAATGTGTCTATAGTATAAAGTTCTAGAAACAGTGATATTTCATTAATATGACTGGTAATGCCATTAGCATTACATTCCGCAATTATTAAATATCATTGCATATTTTAGACATTAATATAGACATCATATTAATTAGTGTGTTTTTTAGTTCTATTGGTTTTGAAGCATATTTTCTACTTTTTATACCCTCCACCATAGTATGGATGGTATATTAAGTTTGTCATCCCGTTTGTAACACCTCGAAATATACATTTTAGACCCCAATAGTATATATATTCTTAACCAGCATAAAATTCTATGTCGATTTGTCAATGTCCGTCCGTCTGTGGAAATCACTCAAGCTTCCGAACAAAATGAAGTAACTTGATAAAAATTTACTCAAATGTATGCAGGACTTTTGGTATGGAAAATGGGCCATGTAGGTCCACGTCTTCGTATAGCCCCCATATAACGGTACCTCCCGAAATGCGGTATATTAATGATTTTAACGATATTATTTACCGGATTTTTTTCAAAATTGTTATTTGAAGTATGTAATGGATACTACAGCCTATGTCAGATAATTGTCTGTGCAGTTCCGCGTCTCCGTATAGCCCCCATATAACGGTACCCCCCCATATTCGGTATTTTGATGATTTTGGCGATATTTTTCACGGGAATTGTTTCAAAATTGGTATTTGAAGTTCGTAATGGATACTACAGCCTTAGACAGAAAATTGTCAGTGCACGGTACCTCCCGATATTCGGTATTTTGAAGATTTTAGCTACATTATTCACCGATTTTTTTTCGTTAAGTTTCGCATTTGAATATTGTAATGGCTTATGACAAAAGTTATCTATGCAGGTCCATGTCGTCGTATAGACCCTAATGTAACAGCTACATTCTGTATTTTTAAGATTTGAACAGAATTTTTAACGGTGTTTGAGAATACGTTACGTTATTTGGCATATTGTTTTGATTCGTTCCGTTGTTGTTATTGATAAAAGTATGTGGTTGCTTATTTGTTTTGAAAACTTTTTATTTCCGTTTATTGATAAGGTTTTGGTAAAATTGACAACCTTTGTAACTAGCAATGTGATTTTGTAGGCAATGAATACATTTTGGCGGAGCGATGGGTGATTTAGTGCAGTCCAACGTTGAGTGACCAAGAGCACATTTAGCACAATTAAAGGCTTGCGACAATAAGATTTGGTATGTCCAAAATCCTTACATCTGGTGCATCGGACATTGTCATTTGTCTTTTTTGCAGGGTCAATTTTAGTTATGGCGTTTTCAAAAGCACGGATGTTATAGATTTCCTTGTTGTTTGGATGTTAAAGATATCCTTGTTGTTTGGACTTGAATGAAGATCGACAAAAAACATCAGCAATGGTTTTTTAGTAACACTACTAATAATTACGTACTTGATGTCCATGACTCAATAAAAATGCCTTTATGTCGGTAATATTAGTGGTATGGTGAAGGTTTTTTACTACCACCCGAAAAGCTCGCTTACGTTTTAATTGATGTGTATGAAAACTTTTACCTGTCGATTCTAGATATTTTATCACCATCCAACTCTAACCTGACCATCTCTTAAAGATTTGTAGTGGAACTCAATTGTAGAGATTAATTTAGTTATTTCAGATACCATTTTATTTATATCTCTAACATGTGGAATGAATACCGGCGGAGGCTTGGTTTGAACATCAATTTTATTGCCTTCATCTGCTTCAATATCATCGTTTGCTGAGGCGCCGAATTTGTTGGATGTCTCTGGTTCAATATTACGATGCGGTCGCTTTTGCTTAAACATTTTGGCAACTCACTATTTCTTTTTTTTACTAGGTACTAGTTGTTGTTAGTAATTGTAATGTGCAATATGCAAGTGCATCAATTGTGATCGCAACTGAACCAAACCAGAACGTTTTGTTGTTGTTTTTAGTCGTTTCACTGACTATATAACAAAAGGTGAGGTCATTGTTTTTTTTTTTTGTTTGGGAGAAAAAGGTTAATATTAGTAAAATGTTCGGTTGCTAAAACTCTGCACAATACATGTTGATATGTTCAATTTTCAAAAAAGACACCACTATTATTGAAAAAACAACTTTATTGAATAACTTAAAAAAATTCCTTTTGAGGAAAAAAAAATAAAAAAATAAATTTTGTTGTACTCTTTTAGCCTAACCTCAACTGGTCCATTTGGAGGAAGTTGCCAGATTCACGGGCTTATACCCTCATTGGCACAATCAGAATCGGATGATCTACCTGTTGTACCTGATATGGAAATAGGACCGTCTGGAATAAAAAGTCCTATTCTAGCAAATCCAGTATTTTCTCACACCAACTGTCCACCTAGTGTACACCGCAGCTGTTTCTGCGTACAATTTATATCTGAACACACCCGAATGCAGGAAGACTCAACTAAGGTAAGATTTTTTTTAATTATACCAAGAGCACTTGTGCTTTTTTCAATATCGATAAGTTGTATCAATGATTAAACAATTTTAAAATAAATTGGCTTAACTCTAGTTTAGTAAAAACTCTTCAATTTTTTCGAAATTTTTTCCAGTGGTAGGTATTTTTACCCTGATCCCGGGAAACATTTTTTCTTGGGGGGACGGACCTGAGACCTCAGATTTTTGACCCGAAAGTCCGGGTTCAAGACCCCGACTAGTCCCAAATCCAATTACCCGGTATAGACAACATAGATACCGTTGGAAAGATTATGAAAATACCTATCCAACAAGTGGTCACATGATGGGGTAAGATGTTACGGTTTGGAAGGGGGATTTTTTATAAAACCCCCAAAAAGTTAAAAAAGGATCCATTATGGGGGACAACAGAATTGATGCCAAATTATAGCTGTTGAGTTTTTTCCCACTGTTTAATAATGTAAAGTAAAGAAAAAGAAAACAAAGTAATTTTCTTTTCTATCAAACAGGGGTTGCACAGAATTATTTTTATTTTGTTGAAAAAGTATTTTTTTTTTGTAAAGGTTACAAATTTGGGTTTTTAGCAAGAGTACTTTTCGTTGTTGATCGCTCGGCTGTCCAATTAAAAAGAGAGCGAGTCAACTTTAACTACATTGTTTGGTAGCCAAAAAATCACCAAATGAAAAATGTATATAATATGCAACAGCTGTTTGCATTTATATGCATATATCTCCTTTTGCATATTTGCATGGTGTCAATGACTACCTAAGCCAATCATGCTAATTCTCATTTCTTTTACATATTTATTTGTAACAAGAAAGGCTTAGGCATACATCGGTCACACATAAATATGTATGCATGCATGTGCAGTTGGTTGTGTACCAACTCATTTGCCTACTTTTATTCTACATTCCCATTGTTATTAAGCAATAAGAATAACAAAGCATGTAGGCGAGGAGGTCGCGACGCACAAGCAAGCATCAAAGCGACCATCATAACAACACAACTGATCAGTGATCGATGTGTTGTTGTTGTCAAATAGAAGAAAAGACAATAGGCAAATGAGTGGTCACCAAACAAAAGGTATTTTTTGGCTACACTCGTGATAATTAGTATACATACAATAATTGATTTTTATAATTGAATATAAAAATAATGTATGTAGCTAATTATATAAATAGTAGTGTAAATTATTTGAAATAGAATAGATTTTAATTATAAGGAAATAATATTATAAAGATTGTATAAGTTCGATACGTTCCACCACAACTTTCCAATGCTCGATCAATCACGGATGCTGATTGGCGCACAGGCATCTCCTCTACAACTCCCCTGGCGGAGACCGTAGTGAGCGGATCGTCGCTGGGCATTGGTTGTTGTCGGAAGTAGTTGTAATTGTAGACAGACATGGGACCCTCAGCGGTCACTCAGAACCATTGCGTTCACTTGTCTTTAGTCTTTTAAGCGAGAAGCGAAACCCAACACGGCCACTGTCGCCAACACACCATATTGAAAAGAGGTAATCCTTATTGTTGAAAAAACACGGTTTGGTCGAATCTCAATTGTTCTACGCGTGGATTTGTTGCATTCAATATACAGTCCACTCTCGTCTTTGTACAAGAAAAAATATTATTTGTACTGATCATCCAACGCCGCGGTGATCATACATTTGCCTTTCGTTTGAAAACAAGTCAGTTGTCGACTCGTATTAACACTTCTTATGTTAATCAAGTGCATTTCCCTACACCAAGTAGCTTTATTGTTGTGAAAATACTCGGAATTAGCTTCTCTTGTACTGATCATCTCTATCCCCTCAATTTAGTTGAATAAGAATTTTGCATCATCGCTTTGTCCATAACATAAATACATATTACACATTCGGTCGCTGTTGTTATCCCCCTTCACGTTTCAAAGGTTGAGCCCTTTAACGAGCAACACTCATTTGCAAAAACAACATTCTTGCAATAACCGTCTATCTCACTGTCGGTTGGTTATTTTGTCGTGGTCGCCACCACACATTCACTGTTGTTGCAATTCCTTCTTCATTTGTTTTTTTTTTTTTTTTGAAAAATTGATCAGTTCTCACTTGAGAATTTACATTGCCAAAATTGCAACAACAATACCCCATCATTCCACGCGCCCTTTTTAAGCGTCGGTTTGATATTCAATAGAAATAACAACAAATTGTTTTGATCTCCAGCTCTCACTGTTGGATCGTTTGTAGCGTCGGTTCTTATGTGGGTGCGTAGCTGCTTACGCATAGCCATTCCTCTGCCGACGTCGCTTGTGTTTTATTCCTCTTTGTGCGATATCCGTCGTTGGTTCGGCACAGTGGAGTAAAACAGCATAATTTTTTTAATATATTTTAGAAATTATTTTTCGATAATTTTCTGAAATATTTTTGACTAGTAGTAGGGTTTTTGGAATTTTTTGATAAATTCACCCTACCTTCGGCATTCTTTGCAGGCATATTTGCTAACAAATATTGATGAAAATTAATAGTTTTTTCTTGCGAGATTTGCAAAATTTGTAAATATAATTTAACATTTGGCTGAACAATTGCAACCTAGTAGGGTTTTTGGAATTTTTGCACCCTACATTAGACATTATTTGTAGATATTTTCAAAACAAACATTAGTTGAAAATATTCGTTTTTGTGGCTATTTTCGTACATTTTGGGGGTTTTGGTATTTTTGGAATAATACACCCTACTTTTGGCAAACACTAAAAAATTCTTGTTAAAAAAAAAATCTTTGTTTTCTAGCCTATTGGAGCAATTTTAGTCTTTTAAATTTCGTTTTTGTCACATAGGAAAAGTGTTTCTTAAACTTTCTTCTATTTAATTTTTAATTTATATTTGTGGAAATTTCTTATTTCCTTTGGACGGTAGAAACTTTTGTTCGAATTTTCTTTTCTTTTATATCAAGTTTTTGTTATAAATTTAGTAATAAAATGTCGATCACTCCGCTCACCCATTTTACTAGAGCCGCTGACATTGTTCTGAAGAGTGTAGACTACTTCGAACAAATTGATTGACGGTTTACAGCCTCGAAATTCGACTTTCGGAAATTCGAGAATTGTGGGAAAAGGTGCTGAACACATACACTGAGTGTAAGAACTACCTCACGGCATCCGAGACTGCACAGGCTGACCATTTTGATTTCGTTGAGGATAAATACAACAATGCATTTATTGCATACCATTGGTGTTTGACCACCATAAACAAGCACCTTGATCGCCTCAAATCTCCAAAGAATGATCATTGTTCTTCTGCTGTGGCTTCTCATTCCTCACCTGCTTCCAGTTCAAGTGTGCAAAACAGATCTTCGCCTGATATTTCTAATAGAGCACCCCCTTCCGAGCAAATTTTGACCAGTCTCGTCGAACCGGTTTCTGTGCAGTGTGTTTCTCCACCCGTTGATGCTTTCTCCAAATCTTCCCCCAATACTGGTTGCTCCAATCCACCCTTCAATAGTCATTGTTTCGTATTACCACCTATTGATATCGAAGTCTTTGCTGGTGATTTTATGTCTTGGCCCACCTTTCGCGACTTGTTTACAACCTTTTTTGTACAAAATTCTCGTCTATCCGATATTGAGCGCCTCTGCCACCTTATGCAGAAGACCACCGGTGAGGCTCGGGAAATCGTTAGCAAATTTCCACTCACTAATTATAGTTTCCATTTAGCTTGGAAAGCTTTGTCGGATGCGTATGATAATAGGCGCATCGTGGTGAATAGCCATATCAAAAACTTGTTTGATATTCCAGTTTTAAAAATTGAAACTTGTTCGGGTTTGAAAAGTGTCCAACGTGGAATTAATAGTTGTCTCGCTGCAATGACCGTCTATAACGTCGCCACGGATCAGTGGGATCCAATTATTGTACATATTTGTTTGCAGCGTTTGCCTTTAACCACCTTGACTTTGTGGGAGCAAAGTATCAAAAATAAGTCGTTGTTGCCTTCCTGGCCAGATTTAGATGCTTTCCTCACTGAAAGAATACAAACTTTGCAATGTATTCAACATATACGTAGAAATCTGCCCACAAACATTGTTTCTCCTAGTTTCGTGCCTAAATCGTTGCCATCAAAGAGTGTTTCACCTCATCGCTACTCAACTAGGTCGTTAACATCCACGCATGCTCGCACATTTAGTTCAATCATCAAAAAGTCGTTGGTACATGGACCAAAATGTGTTGATCCTTCTCCTCGGCCAAACACTTATTGCCCAATTTGTCCTAACCAAAGTCATATGCTCCGACTTTGCTCACAGTTCAGAAAACTTCCGTTTGAGGACAAATTCTTAATTGTGAAAAAGAATAAGTGTTGTATAAATTGTCTTTCTCGTGGCCATGCTGTTAAAAATTGTCACAGCACAAATAGTTGCAAATCGTGCAAACAAAGGCATCACAGCCTCCTTCACCGGCCACAAATTAGTAGAGTTGTTTCAACTTCGCAAAAAGTAGTTTTGAAATCTAAGAAGGTACCTCCGGCTTTTACCAAAGTCAAAAGTCGAGGTCCAAATCCCCCTCCGACTTTTACGAAGGTCAAAAGTCGAGTTCCAAAGCCCTCTAAAACGCACCCTCTCTCTGCAAAAAATAATTCGAACAGCCAGTCTCCCAACACCATTGAAGATAATGTGCTCTTGGGAACTGCACTAGTTAATATGGTTCATAATGGAAAAAGTCATACTACTCGTGCTATAGTAGACCCTTCTTCTAAGGTATCAATTGTTAGCAAGAAACTCAAAAATGCACTTGGCATTAAAACTCGTGTTTTAGAAAAATCTAAATATAAAAAGGAAGTTTGCTCTCTGAAGTTGTCCTCCACTAAAAATGCATCTAAGACTGTAGAAACGAATGCATTAGTCTTACTAAACGTTAAGGGGAAGATGTTTTCGTCACCATCTATTAGCAATTTGAAGACTCGGATTCCTAACTTAGATTTAGCGGATTCTTTCGATAATAGCACAATAGATTTGCTACTTGGCGCTGAC